CATTAAAGCTTCCAGGATGATATGCCAAGAAAACGATTTTCCATGTAAATGTCCAAAAACTTCACAAAGCAGCACGTAGGCACTCCTTTTACTTATGCAACACCCCTGATCTAAGAGAAGCATCCACCTACAATCAAAGTCTTTACACGAAATGAGATCACACCAATTTTAAGGTAAGCCAAGCGTTGTAACAACACTTTGGGCAGTGTTCTTTTAAGTAACTGCATATAAATCTGCATACTCAAACTCTCTCATTAAATTCCAAAAACAGCTGGGGTCTGAACTATCTCAGACTTGCCAAAGCGCTTACTCCAATGTTCTTGTGTTAAACTGAGCTGGAAATTTCACAGTGGAGAAACACCAGAACCCTCCTCTCTGTGAAAAAAAGGTATCTTTTAATTTCAGAGCGTGAAATGTGGGTGCAAGATAAAGCAAGGATACAACTATCTCTCTCCACAGACAACGAGAAACTAAATGTCAAAATGCATTGTAACATACAAACAAAATATTCCTGAACCTCCTAGTGGAGAAGCAAAACAAGGGGGGGGCGGAAGGAAAAGACTCATTAACAGAGATCTAGTCTGCCACATTAAGAATACCAGAACCCACATGACACGTTTGTTATTAATCCCTGAGAATGGAGGCCTAACTACTAAACGACAGAACTTGCCACTCTCCTAAAACAGTCCTTTCTCTTTAAAAAGGCCTAGGATGAACGTTTTATTACTTTCAACCCTTAAGAAAATTCAAGTCTCAAACTAGTTACACACTGTAATGGAACTGTATTTCTTGCTGCCATCCTCCGAAGGAAAAAATAAACATCAAACTGCAAAAATATTTCCCAAGTCAACCTCCCTTTGAACAGCAGAATCAGGAGTATCAAGCACTAGGCCTCTGCAGTGCCACACAGACAACTCCTGTCTGCTACGTAAGCTTGGTCATGCTCACTAAGTGAGGTCCAGGGCCATGTTTACCGAGATCACCCTCCCGACTATGCAAGTCCCCTGCGTGGCAGCAGTTTTCAACCTCATTTCCTCTCACGATAAGCCTGAGAGTGCAACTGAGAAGGATCTTTCACCAACTGCCATCTTTCTCGTTAAGTCCAGAAGGAGCAATGACAACCCGAAGGGCAGACCGTCCGACCACTCTTGCCAGGGCCACCAAGACCATTGTGGCTTGAAGGGGAGCGGGGACGGAGGGAGGGGAGTAGGGTACAGGAGAGCTGGCAGAAAATAAACTGAGGGTTAGGGGAGAAAGAAAAAGGCAGGCCTTAAAAACTGACAGCAAGGCACACACGGTTACACACGAACGATGGAAAAGCGAAATTAAAAAACCAAAACCAACCCACCACCGCCCCTTGCTGCCAGAAACGTACCAACAAAGTCTCCAA